TCCTGAAACTATAAATGTTTTCACAGTAACACATGAAAAGCAAGAGCAAAAAGAGGTAATTCTAACTTTTATCAACTTGTGGAATATGCTAGAGATTCAAACTGTCACAGCTGTTCTCTCATTCAGCAATGACAGGACAGATTGGGATTTTTTGAAGAGTAGCAATTATGATGCCTATGGAGGTGGCACATCTCTCTAGAGACAGTAATAGCATGGAGGTTTGTGTCTCATCAATAGCCATGGTTAATGGTGTAACTTAATGTATAATTTTGTACAAAATAAGGAAACAGAAATTAACCAGGAAACACACTTACTGTAAGCATGTCTGATACATGCTACTTGTTTGTCTGGATTATTCTGTTTGCTGTCATTCCTGGATGCAAAAATGTGCTCTCTAGAAGTTGTTCCCTAAACAACCATGCTTTTTCTGGTATAGAAACCCAACTCATTCTACTATTCTAGTAGAGTACAGTTCCATACCAAAAAAAAGGTGGAGAATCATGGCTTGCCTCCAATGACCTAGAAAATTAAATAGAAGTTCAGCATCTTTCTGGATTACTACCCCCAAAAGTCAAAGCCCATTAGCATTTTCTGGTTTTAGGCACAGTTGCCAGAATTTTTCTTTGTTATACATTATTGAAATGTGTTTATATTTAAAAATAATATTGAAAACATTGCAGTGCCCATTAATTTAAATAATTGCATTTTTGTATATGATGAAGATTCCCTAGGACCTTAGACTCATGTAGAGCATCATGGCTGTCGACAGAGGAAATTCTCCCTTCTTCTGGTTTCCCATTCTTATCCCTATCCTCATGCCTTCACTTTCCATGCCATTCAGGGCATTTACACATTATGGCTGATAGATTTCTTTACTCTTTTTTCCTTATATTTGCTTTCCTTATTGTCTTTAGTTTTACAAGTGTGTAGGTTACCTACCAGTAATTGCAATTCTTTGAGGTGTGTAGTCCATACATACATTTCTATCCTGCTAGGTCTTCCCATCTTCAAGCCTTTTGAGACATGGTTTGTATCTCTGAAAATGAAAAGAGAATTGAATTGACCTGAAGAAGTCAGACTTTTGTCCAAAGTTGTAGCATAAGAAGGTCTTCTTCTTCCTGCATCTCCTGTTTAGATGACAAGAAGAAACCAAGGAACTTATTAAATTAAAAGCATGGAAACAAAGAGTAGGGATTGGCTTTTTCTGTCCTGTTATTTGTAATTTCATTTTGGTAGTTCAGCAACAGTAAGGTAATTTATAGACTGCAGAATTCTTTGGAGAGGGAGGTGGGGGAATGATAAATTTCATTTATTTTTGGCTTGTTAACCTTATTAATGAAAAGCAAATAAATTCTCCTCCTTCTCCCATGCAGAAATGTGGTGCTGCTCACAGCTTTTCTGAAGCCAGCAGTGTGGATGCAGCTGTTGGTCTGGAGATGTTTTTCCAGACTGAAAAATCACACCTACCTAAGGACTGTTTTGGAGAAAGTAGGAATCTTTTCTCTATTGTGTTAACACCAAATGAACCAGTGTTAAAAAATATCCACTTGGAACATGTCCAAATTAGCAGAATCTGTTTTCCTGCTCATCCCAGAGTTGACATCTGCCTTTGATTACCTGACCATCTCCTTAGACTCCATTGACTCTCATGCTTCAATCCTGCTGCCTTTACAGATTCATGGAGACTGTTTCTGGTGCAAAGCAGTGAACAGGGAGTGTAGTTGTAATGTCTCTGCAGTGGAATAAAGTGAAATAATCAGTAAAAATAATAATTGACTAACCTACTAGTAAGGTACTCTCTCTTTTTAAAACAAAAAGAAGAAATAAAGATATATAAAAGTAAAGGTGCTTTTTTCCTTGTGGCCACCAGCCTTTCTGCAGAAGAGCACAAAAGCTTATTTGTTTTTTCCATGTATGTGTTGCTCTATTAAAAGAGATTAATTTTGCATACAAGTTTTTTCTTTTCTTTATATTTAGATCATTTCAACCACAGCATCACCTCATAGGTAAAACAGCACATTCTTTCTCTAGTCTGTAGAAGCTCTCTTTGAGATGCCCTATACTGTTTTGATTCCATGTTTCAGCATTTTCCATAGACCAATATACTGTTCTTTCTCTTTTCAGATTGTGGTAAATGTGTCCCATGCTGTGTAGTGGATATCACTAAGTTTCCAGGCCGAAGTTGGTGGTACTTCAGGAAAACCTGCTACAGAATTGTTAACCATAGCGGGTTTGAATATTTTATGATTTTTGTGATAGTATTGAGCAGTGCAGCACTGGTAAATTGCATTTAATTTCTCTAATTTTGCATTGATTGTTGTCAGTAAAGGAAAATAATAGTATTTGATTGATTTCTTCTACTCTGACATTCCTTCCAGCAGGGAGAGAAAAAAGTGTAATAAATGCATCCCTTAACAGTGATAAGACTTTCCCCCAGTTAGATAAGATATTTAAATATATGGATTTAACTATATGGAATTGTAGTTTTTCATGGAACATAGTTCTTCCTACACTTGTGCGTTAATTACAAGGCTAAACCAGAGTCTGAAATTACTTAGCACTTTTAAATAAAATAATAGCACCTCTAAATATTTAAAGCGTTTTTAAAACATTATGATTAGAATCTCAAAGTGAAGTTGGCTGTAAACTCATAGGTGAGGTAATGTTTTGTTGCTACCTTGATCAGATCCATTTCTACTCAAAAATAAGGGAACTTCTGTGATTTGAAAGCATATTCACTGTCGACTGAAAGTAATTTGTTAAAACGAATGTTTTATAATGCAGAAGGAACACAACCAAATAATCTGAAAGGGATCTATGTGGTAAATGTCAGAATTTGCCAAATAAAATCTGCTCTGTGTACGTTAAGTTCAGGTTGTTCACTGAACCATAGATTTAAACTGTCTGCTTTTAAATTCCCATGGCAAAATCACCAAGGGAAATCCCTGGGATTTCTGTAAGGCCTCCTCTCTAGTTATGTGGAACCAAACTGAAGGAAGGAAACTGTATTATTCTTTATTGTACTCTAAGTTCTAAGTTGAACACAAAGCTAATTGGTACCCAGGTGCAAAAATTACACAATACAACAACATTTTCTTGTCATCGAAGATGTTTAACAATGAGAACTTTCACATTTCTAAGATACTGTTGTCCTCTTGCAAAAAGGGACTTGTCCATTTTTTGTTTGGTTGGGTTTCTTTGTTTATAAAGTTGTATGCTGGTAGGGAATTTTCTGAACCAGTTAGAACAAAGAAACATAATGGTGTCCTTGCCTTGAAAGAAAATTAGAGAGGTGATCACAGAAAGAATGCACAGAAAAGTCCATGGTGAGTGCTCAGTGCTCAGAGCAAAAGAAGAGTAGTTAGGAATTTAAGTAGATTCTAACTTTTTAAGGTAACAGCAATTAAGAGTAGGTAGACAAGGAAAATACATCACTGCTAATGAGCAGGTGGTTTGACTGGTAGATGGAGATCAAGGTAGCCAAGGTTTAGCAGGCAATAAGAGGACACATGATCAAACTTACTCAAGAAAAAAGGTCAGAAATGGCAAATAGGTTTATGCACATGAATGCCAGTTGTTCTCATTTACCCACACTCAAATGAACAGTCCCATGGGCACAGGGACAGCTCTGCTCTGGAGGCATTTCTCCTAATTGTAGCACAACTGGAAGACCCCTTTAGATCCAGAAGCAGAATCACTGTTTTCTAACACTGCAGAACAGGAGTGCATAAGTTTTATTGGATTATACCTAGGAGCATCTCTGCTCCTTGTTTTTTCAGTGGTCTATGCTCCTGCTCCACCTTTCCCATGGCCTTTTAGATGGGTTTTTAGGCATGTCTTAAGTGCAGGGGAGCAAATCAGGTCTGCTGTTAATACCTCAATGAAGTGGGTAGGGGAGAAGTGGAGGCTTGGTGAGGAAATAATGCAAGATGTAAAAGGAATTGGGAGTAGATTTGCAATATCAAAAACTCAAAATTAATTAGGCAGGCAGCAAATGCATTAAACACAAGCAAACACTGATGTGAACAGCAGCGATCAATAAAGCATTTTCCTAAAACCTCAAGGTCAAGGTTTAGGTGAAAAAACCTGTAACTCCAGGAATGAACAGTTCCAGCTAAGGAGTTTGTCATTCTTTTCCATGTGTGTATTACAACTCTGCAGGCTGACTAAAGATGACTCATTTGGAAGGTCAGAGTCTGAAAGACAGTGGTTAATGTGTTCAAGTCAGGCTTTATTGTGAAGAATTTAGACCAACACCTTCAAAATTATCAATTACATTGGGAAGCCAGAATGTGGTAGCCACAATTGCCCATCCTCAGACAAGTTTTGAAATGTTGAGCATAAAAACCTGAAAGTATTTGATTTTTCAACAACCTGAAAATGAGATTGCTCTTATTTTACAATTCATTTTTTTACTTCTAAGTATAAAACTAAGTGGAGGTTGCCCATAATTTAATATGAAATGGTTGTAATCAGACAAACTGTGTATTCTTGTGCAATTTAGGAATAATTTTCCATGCAACTACTGACCTGTTTGAATTCTGAAATTCCAGGCATTTGAAGATATTCACCTGCAGAATAGAAAAACAGTGAAACTGATCCTAGATTATGCTGACAAAGTATTTACCTACATCTTTTTGATGGAGATGCTTCTGAAATGGGTAGCTTATGGATTGCAGAGTTACTTCACAAATTCCTGGTGTTTGCTTGACTTTGTCATTCTATGTGTAAGTATTATATTCAACTTGTCATACATTTTGATTTTTGACATTTTCTGTCTGGATAACTACATGTAACTTCTAATTATGGATAACTACAAATGTGATAGACAGTTTCCAAAAGGTGAAAAATCTGCAATTTAAAGAGACCTTAGGACAAATTTAAATTGAAATTTTCAGCAATAACGAGGAGTTGTTTGAGAAAATTTCATTAGGTGTCACCATCACTGAGGACCATGATGGCTCTAAAAACCTTTTCAAGTGGAGAGAAGGAGTTCAATTAGTGATCAGAAACAAAACTAAAATAAATTACTTAAAACGATAGAAGAATGAGAAACTACTGGCAGTTCTGGACTAGATCATCTTAAAGGTCCCTTCCAACCCAAACCATTCCATTAATCCATGATTTTGGCATTTAGAAACAGAAAAAAGGTAGAGTTGCTTCCTTGAAAGAGAAGAAACTTAGATAGTAAGGGGAGTTGAAAAGTATTGTTGGAAAAATCATTTACCAGAATGTTAAAGACGTAGGAAAGAACTTTTTGCTTTGCAAAAGAGAAATCCCAGCAATCCTTTGCATATTTATAAAGATACACGTTGAAAACACCAGTAGCGAGATAAATGCAGTATTCAATTCCTACATATTTCTTATGAATTCAGACAATATTAATTATTATAATCTTGCCATATAAAAGTGAAACATCTATGCTTGTCAACATCACACTGGGAAGATTCTGAAGTTAAGTATTTAAAGAAAAGGACATGTAAACAGATGACTGATGGTAACATCAGAGTAGTTTTTTGATGGCTTCAGAATAGTCAGCATTGAAAGTTGTGAAGTAGGAGGAAATTTCAACACGAAGGTCTAATATTATGGCTATTTATAAAGAATATGTACCATGACTTTAGGTTTTTTTAAAATATATTAGAAAAGAATGAAGTAAAATTACAATAACTTTGAATTTAATGTGTATTTTCTTAATTTGACTTACTGATCAAAGATATTGTAACATTCAGGTAATGATTGTTTGCTAACACAAACAAGGGAAAATTTGTTTACCATTTAATAATCCCAGTTCCAATTCTATGAACACAGCTGTCATTTGTTTCCTGGGGACTAAGTCATGATCCCAAAGATGTATCACCTTGTTCCTCTTGGAGTGGCCTGAAATCTCTCAGGACTCTTAAGGCATTGAGGCCTCTACGAGCTTTGTCAAGATTTGAAGGGATAAAGGTAAAGATATTGGGGGTCGGTGTGAATTTTTTGTAATGGCTGCATTTGAAGATGTTTTTGAAAATGACAACATAAAATTCACTATTATTTTCATTCATTTTGTTCAGGTTGTTGTCAATGCACTCCTTGGAGCTATCCCCTCAGTCTTCAATGTTTTGCTCGTCTGTGTTGTCATTTGGCTCCTATTTAACATTCTAGGAGTAAAATGGTTTGGGAAAAGATTTTCAAAGTGCATACTCCAGGAAGGAGATATCAGTCTCATTAATGACAAAACTGATTGTGAGTCTCATGGTGGAAAATGGACAAATTCTCCTGTAAACTTTGATAATGTTGGGATGGGATACTTGGCTCTGCTCCAAGTGGTGAGTTCTATAAAAACATTCTCAGTTTTGTTTTCTTCAAGGAAATGGGTTGAGCAGCACAACCATGGGACACCACTATGCTTCTGTTTATCCCACTGAAATTGGGGATATTTTTTAGCTTCCATATATATTTTCCTTGTTGGTGACCTGCTCAGTTCCTCCTACAGAACACTTGAGCATATGCAACCTTGTATTAAAATCAAGAACTCTGTTTCATGACTTTTCAATTTTGTTTTAATTTTGATTAACACTCTAAGCCCGAAATAGTCTGCAAGTTACTGAATTAAAAATATTCTCATTTTCTCTAGCTTAGATTGGATGAGAAAGAAAATCAGGGCACAGTTTATTTATATTTTCTTTTGCTGTAGAAGTCATGAAGGATTGGGATACTAATTTATTGAGCTCCCTAACAGGACAACAAAGGAGAGAAAGGCAATTTTTAAGTTGGCTGTTATCGCTGTATCTTTTTTAGCTGAAGTTCTTTGCCCTGGATCCTCTAAAGTATTCTATGATTCTGCAGAGTTGCTAAAAATTGCAGGAAGGAATTGTCTGCTGTTTTCTCAGAAATTGTTTTTATACTTTCACATTATATTTATAAGTTAAGGTTAAAATTTTACTGATTTTTTTTACAAAAATTTTGAATTTAATGAGAGTTAACATTAACATACATTTCACATGAGTTATGGGTTTTTTTGTTTTCTTTCGGGAAATATTTTTTCTCTTTACTAAACTCCAGTGATACTTCCCAGCAGATCTTTAGAAGTGATGCATATTTTTTATGGCACACTGCTAATTTTCTGCAACTATCAACACATTTATATTAGCTATACTTGATTTTTCTCAGTGATAACAAACTTAATAATGCATTTTTTTCAGGCAACTTTTAAAGGCTGGATGGACATTGTGTATGCAGCAGTGGATTCACGTGAGGTATGTCACTAAAATGAGAATTTTGTTCTTTTCCCTTTTCTTCTTCCCTCATCTTTTTTGCAATATCAAGTCAAAAATACAAGTGGTTGAAGGCATCCAGCTACGCAGTGAAACAATAATCCTTGGAGTACCAAAAATCTGGAACTTAGACAAAAGAAACTGGTCAAAGTAGAGTGACACCACACAGAAGCCTGCTATGTCAGGAATGCAGAGGAGGAGAGGTTGCAAGCTTTGTGCAAGTCTCTTTTGGAAACAGAATACAGAAGCTCTTGGAGGGACTGTGCAAATTTTCTTCCTTTTTAAACATGTACAGGAGCATTGAAACAGCATGCAGCTAGAGCAGTTATTTCAGGAGTTTTTCTTCCCTATGTTTGACACCCTCACTATTTCTTCCCCCTTTGCATGTGCTGTTCCTCACTCTCTTACCAGGACAGTGTGTTTTAACTTCTCTATGTTTAACTGAATTTATCTTTTTCTCACTCCTTCAGTCTCTGTGCTCTTGACTGCAGTGAAATAGTTGCTGATTAACGTGATTGTTCCTTGTAGGGCTGATCTTAGTGAGCTGGGGCTTTAGAATTGCCTCTTGTCTGGGACAGCATTCCAGAGGATGGCTGGTCACCATTGTGTTTAGTCTGAGCTGTTGTTTTTAATCAGGGCATTCACAGGATCCCTTCTGATTGGAATTGGTTCTTTATGACTTAAAAATTTGCTAAAGCTGTATTTGTCTCTATAGCTCTGCTTGTCACTATCTTTACAATCAGTAGCAAGATAGAACAAGAGAGTGGTTCTATCTGTACATCCAGGTAAAGATGTAAATGCATGAAAATAATTTATCCCTCATGACAATAAAAAGATCTGTTATTATAAATTTGAAATGGTAAAGCTGTGATTATCTCCTTTTTACCAATATTATTTTCTGGTTTGACTTTTTTTAACAGATCAATGAACAGCCAAAGTTTGAAGCAAGCCTACACATGTACCTATACTTTTTGTATTTCATTATTTTTGGATCTTTCTTCATGCTGAATCTTTTCATTGGAGTGATTATCAGCAATTTTAACCAACAAAGGAAAAAGATAAGTACTAGTTGAACTAACTCAGTGTCTCCTGTAATCCAGATTTGATTAAGTGAATGCTGGTTTGACATGTAGATGTCTAACATTTTGAAATAACTGTTTAACTGGATAAATTTAAAACAATAACACTTGAAACCAAATTTTGCAAACAGGAGCCTTTTCCTCAAGGCTTTTAGCAATTTGCCTGTAAACTCCATTTTCCTGCCAAGTCCTTAATTTGTTCTGAGTAGAGGACAAGGAGGAAGGAGGGAGTAGCTTCAGAAATAAGAAGCCAAAACCAGGTTGAATTCTGTCCTGATTCATTTAGATGTTAAAGCATCCAGAATGGAAAGGAAAATTGAGTAAGTTATTTCACTTGGACGACTTAAAACAAATAAACCTCTTGCTCATTCAAAAAAAGCAGACCCCAACAGGAGGTTTACAATTTCAAGATTCACTTTTGGAAGACAGAATCTCTACAGGAACCCTTTTTTATTTCCATAGCCCGACTCATACACCAAGTGTCAGAGCATTGCTGCTCTGGGTAGAGAGAGAGAGCAATAAAGCCCACAAGAAATTCTTCTGCTCTCTGCATTTGAACAGAGAAAGGATATTTGGGGGTTGAGGAACAACAGTCCAACTTCACTCTAAGAATTTCCTTTTCTAACAAAGTCCCAGTTACAATAATCCAACCAGATAGAAACAACAGTGCTTTAGTAGTTTATAAGCCTGAACATTTACTGGAAGTTTATGTGGACCTAACACTTTTTTCTTAGTACATGCTGTGATTGACATTTTTTTCTTTGTCATTTTTTTCTCTTCCATTTCATTGCTGCTTCTTGGGGATTTTCCTTGTGATTCCATATAATGAAGTCAAATGGAATTTTCAGACGTCTTTCCAGAGTTATTGAAATTGCAGATGCCCTACTGAACATTCTTGTGTGTTTGTTCTACAAAATGCTGATCACTCAGTGCTTTTAGGATTGATGAGTGGCTTCTGAATCCTGGGTTCAAAGTGATTGCTAAGTACTATAGAGGGTGTAGATGGGAATAAGAAATTCATTGTCAGGAACCTCCTGTAGAACTGGGTCCATCATCCTCCATTTACCTGCTAGTCCAGCAATACCCTTCTTTTTCTACCTTCCCCAAAAATAGAAAGTATTTCCCTTCTTGGTAAATCGTATGTAATTTTTTAAAATATGAAATAGATTTGTAAAACTTCAGAAAGGCTCTCACACTTGAGGGAACTGACTTGGGAACACTGCCTAGACTAGACTGTCATGATCAGACCCAGATCAGCTCTTTCCAATACATCTTTTCAAAGATCAAGGGGAAAAGGAGAAATAGTGAAGACACATTTTGTCTCTGTGCCCTCTTAGGTCCCAATCAGGACAGCTGTAACTTACTCTTTTTTACAGAAAGTTGCTGGAATTTATTTAGGGAACTGCTTAAACTTCAGCTGAACAACAATATTCTTTCCCTTTACTTAGGTGGAAAGGATCTATTTTTGACTGAGGAACAGAAAAAGTACTATAATGCCCTAAAAAAACTTGGATCCAAGAAACCTCAAAAACCCATCCCAAGACCATTGGTGAGATTATCTTAAGTAGAACATGGCAGAAGATACAACGATGGTGACTATTTTTGAACTCAGTAGCCCAGGCACAGGGAAATAAACTTTGCCTTAGAGCCCATCATCTTCCTCATTCAATGTAGTATTTACATTTTACTGTCTTTTTCTTAAAAGAGTCTTTCTTTGTGGGTATTAATTAGGGAAATTTATATCCTATTTATGACCTATCCAAATGTATAACCTGTTTATAAAGGTTCATAATTAGTATTTGAGAACCATACCATGACCTTGGTTACTTAAGTTGCATGATGTTGCTTCTGCCACGAGATTGGATTATTGCAGGTGAGAATGAATAGAGAATAGCACATGCCCCATGGCAATTATTTGCTTTTAAATACTCTTATGTTTTATTTCTTTTAGTTTCTTAATTTTAATTCCAGGCTTGGATTTTCATAATAACTATTGAGAGTTTTTCTTGCTTATGACATTTTAATTTGAATTGCTTATCCTAAAATATCTGCTTCAATAAATATTTCTATTAAAAGAGCAATCACAATGTACTCTGGATGTATTTCCTACTTTTTTATACGCACACACACACACACACACACATATACATATGCCAATGTGACTTTTCACTGAAGATCTAAAGAAATCACCCAAAAATGCTTCTAGTAGCTTATTGTTAAATTTATATTATCTTAAGGTCCTTTTCCAAGCACAAATTACTGATTAATATTTGAATGCGGTTCTTTTTCTCTCCACAGAATGCATTCCTGGGATTGCTGTTTGATATCGTAATGCACAAAGCATTTGACATCATCATTCTGATTTTCATCTGCCTAAATATGGTTGTTATGATGGCAGAAAATAACCAGGAAGGCACCAAGGAACTTCTGAATAAAATCAACTATTTTTTTGTGGCTTTATTTACAGCAGAATGTGTCATAAAAGTGCTGGCCTTAAGACAGCATTACTTCAAAAGCGGCTGGAACTTATTTGATTTTATTGTTGTGGTCCTTTCAATAGTTAGTAAGTACCAATCACTAAATCAGGTAATGTGTCTTACCAATATTGAGCCAAATTTCAGTATGAAGTAACCACTTAGATATATTTGATAAACAAATTCCAGATCCACTGTACCTTTTCAAACTATATGCTAAGTCATTCCTTCTAAAAGGATGTATTTTTGTTTTCCCTTACAATTTTGCACAGTACTAAGAGGTAAATGGAGTTTTCAATTTTTACTTTTCTTAAAGTATGTTTTATTGAGTAATTAACAGAGCAGAAATTTAATTAATTAACATCTTCTCTACATTACTGTACTTTACCTGTTGTCTGACTGTCTTTATGCTTTCGATTTACATGTTATCATGGTAACTGCTGTTTTCACAGTAAAAGTAAATTCATGTTAAAAATACATTTGCTTGAAAAATGAGAAAGATGTATTTAATTTTTCCTGGACCTACTTTACAGAGGGTAGATCCTGATTGCTGATTTAGAAAGCTCAGGAAAACATAACTGCTCAGCACCATTCTAAATCTGGGCCAATACTTGTGAGTGTGAAAAGTCTCACTAAAACTGACTTGGCTTTTTTGGCTTTTCAGATAAGATTAGATGCTGATCATGTCCTCTACAAAGGGTCATAGATAGCTCTAGTTTCTTGTACAGTATATTTGGTTTGTTCTTCCCGCTCAGGCTCAGGTTATATCACAGAATAAAGGACAGGAAAGAAAAACTGCTCTGAGATCTCTGTTTTGTGCCTAAGCACAGTAACCCTTTGCTGTCCCGTGCAACCCAGGAAAATGATGACTCCTTAACTCCTCTGTTTGCAATCATTTGCATTCCTGCTGTACCCTTACTCTGTTAGTAGGGTCAAAGAACAGGGTGTAATGGGGGATAAATGCTAAAAGACAGTTTTTCTTTAGAATCCTCTTGGCCTCCTCTGCTCTCCTTCAAGTACCAAGCATTAGTCAAAGCCTCACATTTAGCATGTGATCAGGCCTGTAAAGAAGCAGCAGACAGCAGCTAGGAGGCAATCCCCACAGCTTCCAGCACAGGAGCTGAATGGAGCTAAAAGGATTTTTCAATACTTGAGCAATGAACGCCGACCTTCACCCCTCTGGCTTAGAGAAATCTGGGAGGATGCAGTTTCCAAACTATGCATCATCTTGAAAACTCTTTAATATTGAAAGCTATTTGTCTTTCTTTTCCTAAGCTGTCTTGTAAGCAGTTTCAGTATTGATGATGTTTGTGTGGAAAGTGGTGTAATATGGTCAGTGTTACTTCTGACACCTAAAGCACAGAATATAACAAAGCAGACAACAATTTAACTAATATGGCTTGACAACATTTTGTTTTCTTTCTCCTTTCAAAGGTATTGGAGTTTCTGAAGCCTTTAAAAAATTCATCTCTCCTACACTTTTGAGAACTATTCGTTTGGTGCGAATTGGCCGAATCCTGAGATTGGTTCGAAAAGCGAGAGGACTTCAAACCCTTCTCTTTGCATTACTGATGTCTCTTCCTGCACTGGTCAACATTGGCCTTTTGCTTTTCCTAATTATGTTCATTTATGCCGTTGTAGGCATGGCAAACTTTGCCTGTCTTCCCTGGGAAGGTGGGATTGATAACATTTTCAACTTTCAAACCTTTTCTGGAAGCATTCTCTGTCTCTTCCAAATTACAACATCAGCTGGCTGGGATAGTCTTCTGGCCCCTTTGTTAAATGAATCTGTTACATGTGCTCCCAACTTAAATTTAACAGAGACAGATAAAACTACTTGCAAAAATAGACCATTTGGTATTTTTTATTTTGTAAGCTATGTCATTATATCATTTCTCATTGTTGTAAATATGTACATAGCTGTCATTTTAGAGAACTTCAATGTTGCCACCGAAGAAAGCACAGATCCTCTTTGTGAGGAGGACTTTGATATGTTTTATGAGACCTGGGGAAAATTTGATCCTCTGGCAACACAGTTTATTGACTATTCTGCTCTTTCAGACTTTGCAGATGCTCTGGCAGAACCCTTGCGCATTCCAAAGCCCAATAACATCCAGCTCATATCCATGGACCTCCCTCTAGTGAGTGGAGATAAGATCCACTGCTTGGATATCTTGCTTGCTTTCAGTAAACGAGTCTTGGGAGAATGTGGAGATTTTGATACACTTAAATTACTGATTGAAGAAAAATTTGTGGCTGCCAATCCATCTAAAAGATCTCACAGGCCAATTTCTTCTACATTTAAGAGAAAACAAGAGGAGGTATCAGCAGTTATTATCCAAAGGGCCTTCAGGAGGTATTTGATACAACGTTCTTTCAAAAATACATCTTTCTTATGCCATCACAGACAGAACAGTGCTGTCTTTGGAGAAGACACACTTAATGACAGTAGTGGCAGGAAGATACATAAATCAAGGCCTGTTTCTTCCATATCTCTCCCTTGACTTTATGTTGCTGTTGCTCAAACCAATAAGCTGGACACATAAGGTTACCTCAGGCTGCAGCATTTTTGACTTTTAAAGCAAAGTCACTGATTTTCAGATGGAGACAATATGTGAATCCCAGAGCAAAATACTCTGAATTTAGAATAATGATGGCAGCCTTCAAGTATTGGGATTGTTCAAATTTTCAAATTCTTAAAATGATTAAGATCTGAAGAACTATGTCATAAATATTGGAGGAAAATCAAACCATAGAACGTTTTATCCGCTACTGAATTAGGTGGGTTAATTTTTCACCTGCCAGTTTTGTCCTAGTTCACGTGTTTATGGAAGAAATCCATAAAAGGTTGGTTGTAAGCAGAGATTTATAAACACACAAGGCTCTAGAATAATGTAAATCTCTTTAGAGATAACCAATATTTCCAACTAGGCTTTATTGTAGCAAAATGGACTAATTACTTCACTTCTGTAATAGAGCTCATTCAGGAAACTCGAGTATAATCAGCCTCTAACTTTGATGGTTTTGGGACCATCCTCCTCCTAGCATGTGTAGGTGGATTTGTTTATGCTTAAGAATTTTGGAAGTGTCTTTATATATGCACCTAAATGGATTTAACAGATCATCCTCAGTTGCCTGTGCATAGAAGTTGTATATAATTTGTTCTTAGTATCATTCAGTGTATGAAAATTGTCATAATCGTAGTTACCAAAATCAAAAGATGTTATACAAGGGGTATTGCTTCCAGAAAATCTTGAGAATCATTGTACATAAATTTTCATCATCATCCAAATGTCATAGAAAGCATTACTTAGTATTCTGAAAAGGAGTTCATGGTATATCTTATGAGACAACATTTAATAAAAGCTAGAGGAAGCATTTATTTGATTGATTCTGAAAAAAAATGCATGAAGAATGTGTAATAATATTTTAGTGATTCTTTTGCAGTTTAGGTTATTCAGATGAAGTGTCATGGTGGATTCAGGACCACTAATAAAATACTACTGGTTTAGATTCTTCAATAAAGAGTTCAGATGCTTAATATGTCTTTTGTCTGTTTTGTAAGGAGTATCTTCAGTTTCATTTATTACAAGACATAATCTGTTCTTGGAGGGGTAATATAATTTTCCAGAAGTAGCTACCTATTAGCACAAGAAATCAAAATGTTTCACTTTTTGCAGGGAATCAGAAAAGATTTATCATTTTGAGGCCAAGAAGAGCAGGAACAATAAGGTAATTACTCAATTTTTACTGTCATTTCCTGTGTTAAATACTATTAAATATGACAGATATTGTTAAATCTAAAATAATTTCAGGACAAATAAAGACATAGGAAAGCTAAGAGTTTAAGAGTCCAGATACAGTATGGTTTGAATGGGCTTTATTATGGTTGAGCATCGGCTCCCCAGGGAACTAGTGGAGTCACCATCCCAGGAAATGGGACCTCTTAGCATAACTCAGGAATTTGCCCTTTGGAGCTCCCACACTGGGCAGAGGGATGCAGAGATATTTGGTGGCTCTGCTTGAGACCTGCTCCTGTCCAGCTTGTGTTGTTTCACGCAGAGTGATGCTTGTGAGGTGAAACTCTTTATTTTGTTCTTTGAGAGCTGGACTGAGCCGACAGCTGTTGTTCAGTGATCAGGTACCATTAGATGGCAGCATTTAGTGTGGTTTAAAATGTGGTCAATCTTCGGTGAATGAGGTGTCACACTTGCACACTTCTGCCCAGGGGTATTAAATTGATTGCAAAAACTTTAGAAAAAAGTCACAGACCACTATGTCCTTGACAGAAGCAGAGGGGAGTGAGTTAAGGCAGGCACCTGCCAAAGAAGCAAATGGTGGGCTGTGTCCACAAGGTCATATGTAACAGCTGCCTCCCAAACACTATATGAGTTTTGAGCAGGCAGACATGGCCAAGGTGTTTTTATCTTCCTGCCATGGCAGCTGAGGGCCACCACTTACCCCTCTTTGACCAAAATGGAACACTCGCAGATAATCATCTTTGCCCGAGTAGCACTCAAAACAAATCCATCAAAGGGGCCAACACACACCAGAGAAACAAAACAAACTAGAGAGTCCTTCTCAGTGTCAGAAGCCCGGCAAGTGGGGCTGGGGCCACCAACCCCTGCGGCCCAAGGATGGGCCCCACAGCAGCCCAGCAGAGCCAGCGCCCCCACACCAGTCCCCGCCAGGAGAGACAGCTCTGAACAGCTGCGGGGGAAGGAGGGGGGAGCAAAACTTCCCGTACACAATGCCCCCATCTCTGTCCTGACTGTTTCAAAGCCTCTGGGGAACACGCCTTTGCAGTCCACACTGAGCAAAAGTGGCCTCATCGGGGGTCAGACTTGTACTAGGCCAATGTCTGCTGGCCTAGGCCTACAGTCAAATTCGGAGTTCAAAGACTCCGTCAAAATACTTCCATCCCACCTCCCTGGACCCCCAGAGGGATCCATACGGGCGAAAGCTCGGGTAGGCAAGACTGTACCTGCACCCTGTTCCATTGGCCGTGTGCCAGTGGTGCGGGACACCAAAAGCTCCAGCTCCCGACCCTGCTGGCCAAAAGCCTCTAACGCTGCATGTTCCAAGCGTAGTTAACGCTCCAGGCCATCAATTTGCTGCTCCCGGGCCGCTACTTGGCCCCACAAAGACACAATCTCCTGGTCCAGGGCTCCAAATCCAGTCAGCAGAACCCATCCCACCTGGCCTGCCCCTGTCACAGACCTCACAGCGAGCCAGGCTACCGGGAGAGACACCGTGGTAAAAAAGGCAGCTAGAGAGGCTGAAGATGTCTCATGACACAGGGGGCCGGTGACATGGCCCCACAGTCCTTGATCTCCTCTGCAACCACTGCAGGGTTACTCTGGGGAACTGCCAATTCTACACCAAAAATGTAAGGTGAACGTACTCATGTATTCTTACCAGGAATTCCAAGGCAGTGGAAGGATTAAAAAAAAAGGTTTATTTCCGATACAAGGACCACTTTTTTATGATGCAATGCATCAGGCCTCCAGGGGAAAAAAGGTGAGTTCCTGCCCCCTCAGGGCCCCTTTTATCCTCTCTGTTTCTACTCTGCCTTCCCAAGGCCTCTGTGTATGTCCGGACTATCTTCTCTCACGTATCAGAGAGAAAGGCTCAGAACTTCTCTTGCTATGCAGGGGGGAAAAGCATTGAAATTGCCTTGGAGAAAGAATTACAATTTAGGCAGAAAGCCTTCCTAGCAAAAACTGACTTTCTAACTTTCCGTCACAAATTGTTCCAAAATTGTATCTATCCCTACATATATCTTCATCAATGACACAGACAAAGGAATCAAGTGCACCCTCAGTAGATTTGCAGATGACACCAAGCTGACTGGTGCACTTGATACTCCAAAAGGATGGAATGCCATCCAGAGGGACCTGGATAAGCTCTAGAAGTGGGTCCATGTGAACCTCATGAGGTTTAACAAAACCAAGTGGAAGGTGCTGCACCTGGATCGGGGCAATGCCCAGTATCAATCCAGGCTGGGGGATGAATGGATCAAGAACAGCCCTCTGGAGAAGGACTTGGGGGTGCTGGTGGGTGAGAGGCTGGACATGAGCCATCGATGTGCACTCCCAGCAGAGACCTGATTGTGGCCTTCCAGTGCCTGAAGGGAGCCGACAGGAAAGATGGAGAGGGACTAATTACAAGTAGTGCCGTGTAGTGACAGGACAAGTGATGACAAGGGGGAATGGTTTCAAACTGACAGAGGGAAGGTTTAGATTAGATATTAGGAAGAAATTCTCCCCTGTGAGGCTCTGACACAGGTTGCCCAGGAAAGCTCTGGATGCCCCATTCCTGGAAATATTCAAGGCCAGGTTGGGTGGGACTCCAAGGAACCTGGTCTAGTGAAAGGGGCAGGAGGGTTGGCACTAGGTGATCTTTAAAGTCTCTTCCTGCCCAAAACAATTCTGTGATTCTGTGGGTTTTTTGTTGGTTTTTAATATGTAAAGCTGTTTGGTATTACACAGTTTTTACAAGTTGCATTCTTGACATGTTGAAGTTTAGACTTTAACTTTACAGGGAGCTACAGCAACAAATAGGTTTGAAACCAAGTGGCTAGGCCTCTTATATTTGTCATTTCATCATTCTGTTATGTTGGGAGCCATGCAATAAAAGGTGAGATCTCATAAACTGTCTTAGCAAGACTGCAAGAAACGCTGAAAATCTTTTAGAGATTGTAGGAACAATATTTTGCTTTTAGCATTTTACTCTTGAGAAATGAAAAAGCTTCAAGAATACTAATACTGTTTTTCCAAACACTAAGAGGAACACAGGGAATAACTTGAATTTCAGGCACTGACATAATTTTCAGACTTCTTCAGTGTACATTAGGTCATTAGGCAGAGAGCTACTTTGTGTAACAATGCATTTAATGTGTACTTCCCATAAAAGCTATTTCCTGTTGTTCTGTAAAGTCAATTCGCTGTTTGCTAAATACCAAATTTCATGTCTGTGTGATTTCTTATTTCATTGCAGAGCACAAAAAGAAAGGAAATGTCAAACACACAAATTAGTGTCTGGACAAATACACCATGTACTTTACACACTTAAATTCTTTCCTAAGGCAGTCTGGGGTGCACCTTTTGTTCATCTCACAGATATTTATTTGCCAGAGCCCCTCATTGTTTTCTGTGACAGACTCATGCCTTTAGATATTTTGCATGATATCAGTTTCTCTGTGTGTTCTTTTTGGTTTTATTGTATATGTAATATTTAGTTATTCTATGTTCCAAGTGTAACAAAGAAGATGGATTTCTCCACTCCTTCTCCTGTGTTTTTTTTGTTTGTTTGTTTGTTTGTTTTTGTTTGTTTGTTGGTTTTTGGTTTTTTGGGGATTTTCTTTGCCTGGTGTCCCGTATTACTCTTGTTCCAGGGTTATGATATTTTGTAAGATATTCCTGGAATCTCATCTAGGTCTTGCAATTAGTCAGCCTTGAAAGTAAGGAGAATCCCAAAGCTTCTGGCCAGCAATTGAATTAAT